ATATATATATATATACACGAGCTCATGTATTATGCTCCCTAACTCATGTATTATGCTCCTTAGGGAGCATACTCATTTACGCCGTCAACTAAAACAGTGAGAGATTCTTTTTATTTGAAATCTTAGGAACCATCTCATTATAGATAGAAGATTATTTTTAGAGGAAACTAGCTTGATAGGGCTGCAGCCCCATCAAAATAAGTAAAGCTTACCTCATACCTCACTGTAAATTGCAATTGAAGCATTGGAAAACATTTAAATCGATCATTTCGGCTACAACATTATGATTGTAAGAAAAAAATTAGGATTTCAAGCTCTAAAAATAGTGTATATTGCAAGAAATTATCTAGACATTCTAGTTCACCCTAAAATTAAGTATTCATAAATCCACAAGATCTGTACTATTTTTTTAGTTTTAAAATTTTATTGTCAGTGTTGAAAATTGATTTTAAACCCATGATGGAGATTTTCAATGCCGAAAGTGCTTTCCGAGCAAGGATTTGAGGTGAAGCTTTATTTTGTTCTCACAAAGCGTAGGGCTTATAGAAACTTCATCCAATTTTTAATTAAAAAGAGTTATATTTTGAGCTCCTAAATATCTAGATTATTCCCTCGACGGTTCCAGTACAATCTTGGGATGATGTGTTTTTTAGGCACATAGCAAGAGAGAGTTTTCTTTTTCTTTCCTTTGAAGTTGGTTGCCAAACTCTAGAAATCACATACTCAAAAATTGAAAATTGAAATAAAAAAGATGTATTTGGAATACGTTTTGCCCGAGGGAATAAATGAATAGTATGCTCCTGAGGGAATAGAAAATCTTTTGGCTACACACAGTCCCTCCTCTTTCGCTATTAAGGAACTAGAGAACCGCCTGGTGTATTTTTTTTATGATAAAATTAGAGAGAGATAGAGGGATCATTTTGTTTTTTGAACTTGGCCCGAAAGCCGAATCTGTCGAAATTGCTTCATTCTTTATACCAAAAACAGAATATGACAACAATTCCTTTCTATCTTGTAAACATCAGACGTTTAACTTCTCACACAAGCACCAATTAAAGCTGCTGCTTTTTGAATTCCCCACAACTAATTTTCAAACTTGAGAGACCCTACTTCCAAATCTAAAGACACCCCACCACTGCTTCCATCCCCACCTTTTCCCCTTCCTCCTAAGAAAATAGTGGAAAAGAAATGGCATCATCACCATCATCATCAAACATACCAGTCTTCAATTCCAAACAATTCTCTTTTCTTCACCTTTGTTGCCTCTCCTTCCCTCTCTCTCCAGTTGTTGCGTGTACTTTCCAACTCCCATTCTCCTCCTCCAAGTATTCTCTCACTTTTCAAAACCATACACTTCCCCTGCTTTCCTCTCCCACTGTTCTTCCTCCCCATTTCACTACATAAGTTTATTTTCTTTGTGCTTCTGGGCCCAACCTTCCAACCAACAAGATCTCAGCGCATTTTGTTGATGACCGTTGCAAGGGAACCATAAATCTGTGTTACATATACAGAGAGGCCATGGGTCGAAGGTTACTCTGTCTAATCATCATCTTCCTTCTGGATTTAGCATCTTGTACAGGTTCGTGTTTCAATTTGTTTCTACATTTCAGAGAGTATTTATGGATCCTGGTTTTAGATCTTCCGAAATAAGCATGACCCATATTGAATTGTTTCTGTAGTAACAGAAATGATCCCTTTTTCGGGAGAGAGATGTAGCTTTGGGTTAATATCTTCTGATTTTTTGAATTATAAGTGAATGAATCCCCCATTATCTCTGGTTTTTCATGACATTTACTATGTAGATTGACTGATTTTGTTATAAGTCTGAGCCTGAAATTCAACCAAGTAATTTCTGGTTTGGGTTTATATGCTGTAGAATTTCAATGCATGTAAATGGACCCCTGTTTTCTGTTGGGGGATGTTAATCTTCTGTAAGTTGCACATTATATATTTTGATTGGATATGGGTTGGTTCCTCACATTACAAAATTCTTGAAATCTGCTATTGAATTTCAAACATTATCAAACAAACCCGATTGATTTCTCTTACTTCATAAAGCAACATAAGAATGTCAGTCTGCTTTGCAAATCTCTCTCTCTGCCATTTTCTAATCTGAACTTTTAGCTGCCAGGGACTCCTACGATCTATGGCACACGGGGCGCAGATATGGTGACTCCAACAACAGGAGGGGTTCCAGTCATCATCCCCACCACTACATCACCAACGCCCCCTTCGGCTCCTGCAACAGTCACATCACCGACAACCCCCACAATGATGACACCCCCAACTGCTCCCAATACAGGCACACCAACAACACCAACAGGAGGAGGAGGAGGGCAGAGCTGGTGCATAGCGAACCCGAGCTCATCACAGACTGCATTGCAGGTGGCCCTGGACTACGCTTGCGGTTACGGAGGGGCAGATTGCTCAGCCATACAGCCAGGAGCTGGCTGCTATAACCCCAACACACTCCGCGACCATGCCTCCTATGCTTTCAACAACTACTATCAGAAGAATCTAGCTCCCACTAGCTGCGACTTTGGAGGAACCGCTGTCATAACCTCCACTGATCCAAGTATGAATTTTTCCCTTTTCTCCATTTTTCCTCTTGCAGGCAGGGTTTGTAATTCCTCCCAGTGTAGGTTCTATAAATGGTGTTTCTTGTCTCCACCTGTATTTCCTTTGAATTTTGCAATGCTCCTTATATGTTTTCCTGTGGTTTGTGCACTTTATAGAGATTTGATAGTTTTACCTCTATGCTTTTCGGATTAGGAATTCAAGAACATGCAGTGTTTTGATTTTTCAAACTCTAAGGTGCTTAGCATGGGTATGCTTCAGATGAACTATAATTTTTGTTTTTTTCTTTGTTTTCTGAATCCAATCTTTGCCTGCTCCATTTCTTACTGCGATTATGATGTGGTAGATCCCTAATTCATACTCGCTTAAAGCGAGGATTGTCAGAAACTGTTAACTCTACCACTTCGTTGATGATCTGTTTTGTCTTTTACCCTTTTCAGCTTGGTGTTTTCTTCCTTGATCATTTTGACTTTAATTATGCGACTCAATGTAATGGTTGGAAATCAATGATTAGGCTATTATGATTCGGAACATTTGACCCGTTTCTTTTCATTGTGCAGGTTCTTCGACTTGTACGTATCCATCAACAAGGTACATTTTGTCTCAATGAGTCATTTGCGATTAGACCTGTTTACTTCCTTGGCATGCATTTCCATGTGAAATGATTGAGAGGGAATAAATAATGATAATAGAATGAATGCCTGATGTTAATTTTCATTGAATATTGACAGCTCGACACCATCGGTTATAAACACAACCAACCCGACAGGTTCCACTATATCGGGATCAGAACCCTATGGCTCCAGTAGCGCAGTTTCCACCATTGTGAGGGTACCTCTCATCTTTGCCTTGGCATTGATTCTGAGTGCACTCACTGTACCCGGCCACATATGATAATCCACCGACAAAAGCTTCATAGAACCCACTTGGTTCTTGGATGGGGAACTCCTCTGTGGAAGCCCCCTGTGGAGCTAAACGCATTGGTTTGTGTCGTTGTACCAGAGGCACAAGAGTGTTACAAATTTTTGGTATCCATAGAATCAAGCAGATACGATCAAGGTGCAGACGTGAGCAAGTCTTTGCTTCTTCTCATTTTCTTCTTTTATGCAGAGATATGTCTAATGTTCATATTGCAGGATGACAGTTTCCTAAATTTGGATATACTAAGAACCTAAAATTCATGACTTGGGCATAAAATGTCTCGATCCATGTGGACATCATTTGAGATATGCTTCATTGCATAATTGTAATCTCCATTTATTGTACAGTGAACACTAGATAATAAGAAATGGAAAACTTTAATCGAAACAATTCAAACTCTTCCGAAAATCTCCACAGCACGTCGGGCCTCCTTTTAAGTGGTTTCTAATTAAGTCTAATCTCAAAGTGATGAATGTTGGTTTCTCAGCGGTTATAAGTAGGTTTAGAGATGGATGCTTGACATATCCATGCCGTTCATAAGATTTGCGAGGCTCTTCAAATCATTCAAGGAGTTTCCGATGGGTAATTATGAATGACAAATAACAGGTCGATTGAAACATTTATACAGTATTCTCTTTACTTGAGAATGAAGAGTCCTTTGTGTTTCAGCGATACATTGCTATATACATTAAGGAACTAATTCTCATAACTAAGTTTATAGCACCTGACTTGATGGTTATAATGTTGACAAGCACATCACAACAGCTAAGATTTGAATTGCACAGCTAACCTACCAAAACAAATGATAATTATCCCTATTTTACATACATTGTAAAGGATGGAATCTGTGATATTCAACTTATTTATCTCAATTTTCATATACAATAAATGAAAAAACAGAGTCAATTGCACCTTCCTTTCAGTAAACTAGTAACCACGAGGCTCTGCCCGGTTTGATAAAAGGGAAATTGCCCACGAGTCTGTGGCCGGTTTGATAAAAGGAAAAGCACTCAGACAAGAAAGAAAGTGAACGGCAGGATACCTCTATATCAAAGAGAGAGTAAATAGAGAAATTATAGGACTTAACCGATGCGACGACTGGAGGACATGGGTAGTTATGTGAAGTTCCCTGTTTTCTCAGGTTGCCTACTGTAACTTCCCATATCAACCTCTTTCTTAAATAAGTCTACCTTTAATTAGTGTATTTTTATAGACGTTTAGTGAATCTAGACTAGGTTGTGCACAGACACGTGCTAGGCAATGAAATGAGGATACCATGTTAAAAGAACGGTTCCAATATAGGTGAGACCCCTAATAATTCAACTATAGTCATTTTCAGAGCAATTCTTGATTTATTCATGAAAGGACTAGATGAGAAACTTTTAATGGCAAAACTTTTTCTGCAGTTTGATTTATATCAACCAAAAAAGTAAATATTTACTTCGTGCTAATTGTGTCCAGTAAGGGTGACAATGGGCCAGGTGGCTCGGCCCGGTCATAAAAACTAAGGCTTGGGCCACAAAATGTGGCCCAAGGGCTCGGCCAAGGCTAGGCAACCACACCCCAAGGGTAGGATCAGGGCTGGCCCTGCTCTTTTTCTTTGTTTTGAACTTATGGCATTGTGGCTGCACCACGACCGTACACAGCTAAAAATATGAAAGTAAAAAATTAACCCCAAACACAAAATAGTTATTTGAAGTTGTTTCTCACATAGAGAACATAAAAACAATGAACTCTTATGCCTTCCCGGTTTAGGGGGACCAACATTAGGTACAAAATATTTTTCCTGCACCATTTAGGAGTGAAAGGGTGCCTGCTTGTTCCACTTCACCTGATTTTCTTTAACATGTTTTCACTTTTTCCTGAAGAGGTGGCTTGCTCTTCTACCTCTCAACAGGGCCTTGGGTTAGAACATGGTTAAAAAAATGTCGATATGGATCGGAATTACCTGATAGGTTTGAGGGGTGGCTGGTAGGGTCCCTCCGTTATAATGTAAGGCTAGGTGGTTCCCCATAGGAACAAGCCGGTTCTATCAGGAATTGATCCTGCCGTATTTTTTTTTATTAATTTATGAGAAGATATTAAAAAAAAAAGAGGATTGAAAGTTTGAAACCTTTTGCAATATAACTAAAATGGTCAAAATATTATAAATTATATATGAGGGTATGCTTTTGAATTTTTATATCAATCATGTATGTATTCAATAAAAATGTTTGAAAATTTTTCAAATTCCCCTATTAGGTGTTGGGAAGTCCAAAGGGATACTTTGATAACTTTGCCCTAACGAGGCTCTAACCATACTTCAATAATTCTATCACCAAAGAGGCCTTAACCGAATGATAATTAGAGACAAAATTATCAATGTATCCCTAATTATTATGGCTTCTTTGTACAAAATAGGGGTAATTTAGAAATTTTTGATATTTTTTGAGGATATAACTGGTTGATATAAAAAGTTAACGGCCTACATTATAGTGTAGTTTGTAATCATTTGACATTTTAATAAGAGATTTTAACCCCTTTTTCATAGTTTCTTTTTATTTTTTATTTTTTATTTTTTATTTTTTATTTTTTATTTTTTATTTTTCTAAATTTTTAGTTTGTTTTTTATTAGTACAAATCTTTTTATTTGCCAATCTCCATCCCTACAAGGATTGAGATGCCAGCCCCACAACTTCTTGGTTTGGCCCCACACCCACAAGGTTAAGCAACGAGGGAATGATATTTTTTATTGGCGAGGGCCCCAACGTTTCCCTAAGATGCCCGATGACTCGACACGATGCGATATCAAACTTATGAGACTTATGTTTTATTAGGAATTCCAATACAAACGAATTGAAAGTTTTTTTTAATGCGTCCCAAACCTGATGGATTGTATTAGATAGGCAGTCAACTTAAAACTTTATCAAAACTTTTCATGAATCCTGAATCTACAAGGTATATTGATAAAGCTGAATAGCGGACTAAGATCATGTAGTCGATCCCAAATCGTTGGAAAAAGACTTTGATAATTATGATAATCTTTTAAAAAATGTCAAAAACTTTTGTTTTTTGGATTATTTAGAACTGTAAATCAAGAAGTTTCAAAAATATTGGAAACCATATGACGGCTTACCTTAATAAAAAAAGATTGGAAACTGTGAGGGATTGCCTCTTGCACAACAAGGCCATGTTAAATAAGTGAATCCTTTGGCTAAATATTTCGCTTGGTGTGCTAAATACCCTTGAATTTGGTTGTATGTACAAAAATTATGAATAATTAATATTCATTTACTTTGAAATAAGAAAAGTATTTGTATCAATAGAGATAAACTTTGTCACACAGATTCTTCAACGAGAGGGATGAAGAATATTTATATAAAATAAGATCGGTTTTCAGAGAAGAGAGAGAGAGGGCCGGGGCATAACTTGTATCACAAAATTAGTACCAAAAATCACAAAAAATAAAATTAGCATAAAAACCAAAATTAGTATCAAAAATCACATTCTCCCTCGTTTCTTCACTAAAAATCACAAAATGAGTATAATTTTTTTTATAAAAGTAAAGTTAGTATCAAAAATTAGTATCAAAATTAATATCAATAGACACTCCGATAAGAAATGGTGTCTCAGTATTCACGTACTTTTGTAAATAACTAAAGTCCATAATGCACTAACCCCTTTTTTTGGAAACTTAAAAAATAATACTCATAACAATTTTGAATCACCATCATCATTATCATCAGAGTCTTATCCCAACTATTTGGGATCGGCTACATGAATCGTGCTCCACCATTTCACTCTATCAAGGATCATACCCTCACTCAATTTATAAGCACCATATATGTTATCATTACTTCCATCCATGTCCTTTTGGATTTTTCCCTTGCCCTTTTAGAGTGTCCAAATCACCCCTCGTAATTAGTGTTGCTTTAGGTTGATGTTGTACATGGCCATACTACCTAAGTCTACTTTCCCTTATGTTATCACTTGTTGGAGCCAACCCTATGTCCCCTCAGATGTCGTCATTTTGAATTGTAAGCTTTCTTATCTTACCACTTATCAATCTTAATATCCTAATCTCAGCTACAGTTATTCTATACATATCTTTACGTAATATTCTGTTGCATAGAGCATGTTGGTTTTATAAACTTCTCCTTTAGTTACATTGGTATGCGATGATCACATCCTACTTTGAAAGTGCATCTCTATGTCATCCACCCAGCTCTAGTTCTATGTGCAATATCTTTTTCAATATTTCCATTCTTATGGATTACTGACCCAAGATAATATCTTTAATCTTAACTAATTCCCTATTTCAATTCCTAATATTACTAGCATTCTATATATTATATCGTAGTCCAGTTAATTTAAAACCTTTTGATTCTAGAGCAACCCTCCAAAGTTTTAACTTAACATTGACACGATCTCTAGTCTCGTCAATCAAAGCTATGTCATTTGCAAGCAATATACACCACAGTACCTCATCCTGTGGATGTCTAATTAACTTGTCCATGTTGAAATCTTGAGAGAAGAGGTGGACCCCTCTCCCAAGATTACTGGCGGTGTCACGAGACTTGGGATCGCGGATATCAGGCCCTTTCCCAGAACAATGAGAACTTAAAATTAATTATGTGGTCTGCTTCTCGATGGCCATGAAACTCTTCTTAAAAAGGGATGGAAGGAGACTGTTCTCCAACGTTCGGCTGAGTTCCTGAAATCTCTGATAAACGTGGCCCTGTAATTTGGGAGGTGGGTGGTTATTTTCTGCCGGTTAGATAGCGGTACTTTCTCTCTCTAAGAAGCCTCCCTATTTAGTGATACGCATTAAATTATAAGAACGAGAAAAATAGCACGTTTAAAGGCCTCATGGCCACACACACACGTACCAACATCTCCTACTTGGCCACGAGGGCCAGATATACTGAAATATCATAAAGTCTTTACCACTTAATGAGTTTAACATTTATAAGCATATTTTTGTCATGAGGTTTTTCACACTAATGCAGTTATACATCTCATAACAAAAAATAGCCAAAGTCATGTCATGGGGTTTCTCACGCTAATGCGGCTTGTCCTCACATGACCAAGACATCAAAGAAAAAGATCCAATTTGTGAGTTTCAAACTTAAATATTCTTAAGTCTCATCAAAGCTACATTCTTTGATAATATTTCTACACTCAACCTCTTTGTTAAAGGGTCTGCAATCATATCTGAAGATGGTAAATAACTTGAGTTATTTCATTCTTTCCAATAATATTATAAATATAATGATAATCAATTTCAATGTGCTTACCCTTAGAACTATAAGCTCCATTTCTAATTGATGAAATAGCAGCCTGATTATCACAACAAATTTTAATAGGTCCGTTGACTATATTCAGCTTCAAATCATTTATGAA